CCGCCGGGGGGCGTTGCCTTGTGGGTGCGGGGCGGGGCGGGGCGGGGAGGGAAGAGTCTCGCAGGTGGAGGGCGGGTCCCTGCCCCTCCCGGCGAAGGCTGGCGCTTGCCCGCCAGAGCAGTTTCGCTCCGCACCCTGCGTGCGGCCCCGGAGGCCAAAGGGCGGGCGCCAGGGAGCGTGCGTGGCGTGGGGCCCGGGGGGCGCCTTGCATGCGCCCCGCATTTCGCTGCTGTGGCTACGTCGTTGTGCCACGCATGTGTGCGCCCCGCAGGAGCGAGGGGAGACAAGGCAGCAGGCCTGAGAGTTGGGGGCAACTAATTCCCTGCCTTCGCCCTTGCGCCAGTGTCTTGCGGGTATGTTTGGGGGCAGTGGGGCCCCCGCCAGAGGGATGTGTAGGGTTTTCAAGGGACACGTCAGTTCAGCCAGGTATTTGCCTGCTCTTGCACCGGGCTGCCTAAAAAGCACCAGCCAAGTCCGCGAACACTAAAATGTAACACGGTGACTGGTGACTGCAGTGTGAGCGCTGCTCAATAGTTGCATGTCACCGGATTGAGTTTAGACGTTTTCGTAAAGATGCAAGAGGAAGCAATGTTTCCGTAGCCGTGCCCTGACACTTGTATTTGTAAACCTGATTTTTGAAGGCGAGCCGTTTTTAAATGAGGTGGCCGGAGGGGGACGCAAGACCCAACTATATTTCCTGAAATGGGTACGGTAGACTGAAAAGTTGGGATCAGTGCTCCTAATTTTCCCACTTGTGCGGAAAGAATTGTGTTACGTGCACCAATGTGGAGGGGATGTGACATAGCCTAAAATGTTTATGTGACGGGTAGGGTGAGGGGTTTGAAGTGTAGGAGGGAGCTCAAGGTTGTGGTTTGGGGGGGCTGCAGTCTCTGGGGGTGCGGGCTCTGAGGTGCCACCAGAAATGAGAGGTTTGGGGTGCAGGCTGCACTGGGACTGCAATGGGAAGAGATGACTTCCCTGCCCCAGAGTGCAGCAGCACTTGGGCTGGTTTGGGGGGGGGGGGAGGGACC